ACATCACAAGGGTCGCATCAAGGATGCCTCTCGTAATCTCTGATGCAATGAACTCTCGTAAACCCTCATCATTTGGTTCTGAGCCCGTACCCGTGTCTGGACCAGGTCTAGATCCTAAACCTCCTGCTCCACGATGTGTCACCACCATATTAAAACATAACCACATAAACAATTATCATACACATGAGAAGGTTCACAGTCTCGAGTTACCTCTATTCATCGTGGTCTTCCTCGCATTGGGTATAAATCTTGTGCTTTCAATAGTACGGGCCCAATACTACATTCCACACCTATTTATACCCTCCTCAAGAACTACCCCGATTCCTCCAAGTTACTCTTCCCAACTAATACATTCTCAAACTATTAAGAGACCTACGCACCAAACATCTTATAGGGACTCCCTAAGACTCCCTTCCTCACCCCTCTCTGCTATCAGCTATAGAAGGTATTTCTACAAGTACTACCTAACTATTGCATGAACACAGTTACATACTAGTGGTATTAGATAATTCTTTGAATAAAATTTCCCACAATACAATGGTTACACTCAAACAAGAGTTGAACAATAGAGTTAAACCTATCCTTTTAAAATTATCCAATCACAATAATATATAGCCTTACGCATTCATCCACTAGTTAGTTAGTACCAATAGAATTTCCTAAACCATAAAGCATGCAACATTCGAGCATCAGACAATTCAATTCAAAACATACCCTATACATGCCATACTAACAAGTAACTGATATGATACTTGCATGAAAATCTAAAATCTTATACGGATAGGAATATAAAGTCATATCTCCTAGCATTCTATCATGCAATTCTTAGTAGACCCTTATCCCTTAATATATCATGCAATTCACATATCATAACATATAACCTGTATGGGTATTTTGGGGAAAACTTACTTGAGCTCGGCCGATTGCATGCATCACACCCCTTTCCCTTTATTAAAATCCTTAGATTAAAATGTTTCTTTTATGAAACCTTACCAAACCTTCAATTTGAGTCCAAGCACACCCAAGGGTATGCCCAAATCCGTTAAACCAATGCTTCATACCAACTTGTAACATCCCAAAAATACAAATAAAAGTTTGTTTTTAAATTCATTCATTTCATAAGAAACTGATATCAAAATAGTTAAAAGAGTATAATTGTAACATGTTATCAGAATATAAATTCCCAAAAGCACAAAGTGTGGAAAAATATATAGTGATGCGGTGCGATTTGGTCGGGCCCTTCCCTTGCGAATTGGAAGTACCTGAAACATAAATTGAAAATTGTAAGCACAAAGATTAGTGAGTTCTCCCAAAATAACACATACTAAACAAACATACTGCCAAAAATATTTCGGTACTGCCCTACCCCTTCAGTCTATTTCAACCGGATACTATCAAGCATATCTAGGTGCTTGCCTACCCCTTCGGTTTATTTCAACCAGATAATACCAAGCATATATGAGTGCTTGCAGACCCCTTCGGTCTATCTCAAGCAGAAATTAGGTCTATTTCACCCCCCCCCCCCTTACTACTACCACATAGTATCATAACAAGTATCACACAGTCATCAAGCAAATATAGGCATAACTGATAATTGTCACAAAGACAATCATCACACTACATCATAAACTAGTGGGCCAACATTGGTGCCTTCGTCCTACGAATACTACGAAGGAAGACTCACCTTAAACTGTGGGTATCAAATCGCATTCATCAGATGACTCGCGAACTCCTATCCCTATCGCACAAGCATAAAACCCTAATTAGAAATTACATCACATTCTAACCCAAAATTCCAAGACCCTAAGTCTTCACTTAAGGCAAAAGGGCTCCTTTACCTTTGCCTTATTACGCCTCCTTTCCTCCAAGGCCCAAATCCATACAAAACCCAAGAAGGCATCCAAGCCTACTATAGGGCCTCTGAGGCCTAATATGGCCCAAGAACACCTAACTTGGCCTAAGGTCAAAAATGGGGTGCTACAATCAAGTGGGCCCGAGGCCCAACTCACACAAGTCCAAAGTCCAACATCAAACGATCCCAAAATATTCTAAGCCTACTGACTGTGTACGCACATCGTACTTGGCATGTACACCCAACATACGTTGGTGTTGAACCGGAGTCGGGGTACTGACCCAGTACACGCAGCGTACACTAGAGTACTTATGATGTACTAGTCGGCCAACCCAAACACACTTCCTTGACTTAATCCATTAGGTCCTAACATCCAAAACTTAGATCCAAGTCCTTAATAACGTCTTAAGCGATAAAATTGCAAACTTAATGCTTTTGCATGCAAGGATGGGGCTCAAATCATGAATTAAGTCCATTTACTCACTTAGATGGTTACTAACACTTGTATTGTTGAGGCTTAACCATCAATATAATATTTTTATGACTCAAAACACCTCTAAGAGTCCAAAAGGATGTCTTATATGGTCTAAAGTTGCTCATACTCCAAGAGTCCAAACTATGGGACCAAAAGATATAATTTTCTACCTTAAACCTAGATCTAAGCTTGTAATTATCAAGGTACAGACTTTATACCTTCAATAGGCTAGAAATGATGCCAAACTTCATGATCTACAAGATCCTTCCTCTTCTTTGCTTCTTCCCAAGCTTCCTTTTCTTTCAAGGTCACTAAAGAACACCACAAAACACACAAGAAAGCTCACAAATGCACTTAAGGTGGCTTAGGGTTCGAGATTTGCACTACAAGAGCAATGGAGGTTTAAAAGGTAAGGTACTTGAGGGACTTAAGGTCCTTAAATAGGGTGTAAACCCTAAAAATTAGGGTTTGGCATGTCTTGGTTACGCCCAACGTACACATGGGTACGCACACTGTAGACTGAGGATCCCCTGATGGCATGCATATAGCGAGTATGCAATGCGTACATAATGTACGCCCAACATACTCACCATCCTTCCACTAGCTTAACTAGAATTCAAAATAAACTAAGTCATAAACTTCATACCTCTGACTCGGGTGCTACATGGCCATTATACCATCGATCCCCTCATCAAATCTCATTTCCCGTCTCCCTTCTCATCCCTCACCAAAAAATCAACAACACCCACCATCAACACTTCGGATAAGCACCACCATCTTGTGGTTGTACGAAGGTTGTGGGAACTCTAGCTACTGTGTTCCATCATCACAAATCAATCCGACACCGGATAATGACCACCATCTCCTGTTTGTTTCAAAGTTATCGGAACCCTAGCCACCGGTGCCATCATTGCAACTCCACCCGATGTTGTTGATAGCTATTACAGACCATCATCTCCATTAATTTTACCATCATGAATCACTCCATGTAGTGTATCAGATTCATCAAAACCCTATAAAAAGACTTTTGTCGCCTTGCTCTTTTTCTCCATCATCGTCACCACCATCTGAACCATCAACATCGTCGGAATCTTACTGACTTTCACCGATATATCCTTTTATTTCACTGATTTCGTCAGCCAACACCTAAAACCCCAATTGGTTTGTACTATCCTCATTTCCCTTGTTCTAAAAATTTTATATGTCATTAAACACTGATTTTGATGTATTTCATTCAATTGTTTGATTTCTAATATGGGTTTCGTTTGTTTTCTTGTGCAAAAATGAATCATGCTTTAATTTTTGGGATAATATCATAAAAAGCCTTAATTTTGTAAAAAAAAATTAATAAATAAAATAAAATAAAAAATAATCAGTTTTACCTTCCGGCGAGTTTTTGGGTCGTTAATGCTGCATACTTGTCTCAACTTTTGCGTTTATGCCAAATAACCGATTGCAAAAGGGTTTACCGGTTACCCCTCTACTTACCCCTCAATTGTAGAAGACTTTTCCCCCGTTTCTTAACCCCATTTACCAAACGATGAAGCTGGGTTTTTGAAGAAGAACATCACGAAAACAAAATCAGATTTCTGCACCAAATGACAACGTCGAAATCAAATTCAAGCTGGAGCGGCACATCAAGAAGGAAAAATCGGGAGATAATCCGATGTAGATGTGGCGATATTTTCCCTATTTATGTTTCACGCGCTCCAGAAAACCCAGGACAAAAGTTTCGTGGCTACCCTAATTACCAGGTAATTGTTGTGATGTTTGCCCTAATTATGCTCTCTCTACTATCGTCCCTTCTTTATGTAACTTTATTCTTCTTTTTGTAGGATGTATATGGTGGTTGTGGTCATTTCAAATGGGTTGATGAAGAAGAAGACGAATTTAGGGCTTTTAAGAAGCAATTGAACCTTCAAAATAAAGATATCGAATTTGTGATGTTGCTCAAACTTATTGTAGGGTTGCTAGTGAGTATTTTGGTATGTCTTGTTGTTGTGGTTATTAAGATGTAAGTTAGATGAAATGATAACAAGTTTGTAGTGTAGTTTATTACATTGGTATATGTACTGAATCTGTAAAAGTTTGAATGGTGCAATAGTATTAAAGTTTGTATGGCTATGATCTATTTTATGAATGATTTTGTGAAAATGGTAACTACACATTCAGCAAAACACAAATGCAAAGTAAGATGCATAAAATGGTAATCAAATGTGACAATAATGGTAAACATGTTCACCATAACACAAATGGGAAGTAAGATGCATAAATGGTTATCGAAGTTGACAATACTAGTAAAAACATTCAACATAACATAAATGAAAAATAAGATTCTTATATGGTAATAAAAATTGACAATAATGGATAACACATTCATCATAACACAAATAAAAGGGGGTGTATTAATTGCATAAGGTTTTTTACATTTCACTAATATGTAGCAGCCATCCAATTGTATCCAAAAGCCTAAATAAATTATCAAAAAAGGCAACCAAGTTTATAACATAAAACAAGTGGATGTATGTTGCATTTAGTGGGTGGAATGACAATAATATTTAGCAAAAAGGGCTCCATTTGCCCGTGTTTACCCTCCCCACTACACCCCCAAAGCACTTAACCAACTACTCCAACCTAACTGAATTGCTAGCAGATGAACCACCTCTATTTTTTTCAAGCACCGTCTTCTTCAACTTCTGCAAAATGATTTTCAAAGGGTTTTCTCAACCTTTTCAATCTAGGGACATCATCAGGACCTTCATCATCACCTCCTTCTTCGTGTTCACCTTCATCATCACCCAAGTGACCATCATCACCTCCTTCTTCTTGTTCACCGCCACCATCAACCTCAATAATAGCATCATCAACAATACCATCAACATCATCAATAATCGCACCATCAACAATACCATCAACATCATTAATAATAGCATCATCATCATTATCAGATGGATGATTCAATACATCTTCCATATCCTGATATTGATAATTACATAAATAAATTAATTTGGAGAAAAATAATGTAAATTAATTACAAAAAGTAATTTCTTACCAACTCAACGGGTGGCATGTCATCCAGTTCCAGTTCTACCCCTTCCATACCTTCAATTTCTTCCATGCTATATCCTGCTTCTAACATCGATGCAATCGGTTCAGCATCTAGTTTTACCTTATCTACAAGGAAACCATCATCTTTTCCATCAGTAAACTCAACATTACCCCCATTATATGATTGAGTAGCATCATAGGTTTCTGATTGTTGTTGAAAACTACCCTCCCCTAATATTTCGTTCAACCCCTGCTCAACCTCATCAAGTACTTTGTGTAGATCTAAACCAACCCTTGGAAGCAAAACATCTTCTTTTCCAACATCAACCACTTCAACTTCTACAGCAATATGACCATCTTCAACAATAACATCATTAACACCCCCAGTCTGAATATCATCACCAAGATCCCCAGCCTCAATACCATCGCCTTCCCCAATCTGAATACCATCACCATGATCCCCAGTCTCAATACTATCACCATGATCCTCATTCTGAATACCATCACCTTCCCCAATCTAAATACCATCAACAAAAACTTCTTTTTGAGTTGCAAAAACATCTTCTTTCTGAGTTGAAGTAGCCTCTTTTTTGGACCTTGATGCTTTTAAAACCTTGGAACTTGATGCTTCTTTCTTTGACTTGTTTTTCTTCTTTGGAGGCTGACTGGATTGAGAAGCTCTTAATGATTCATCATATTCAGTAGCCTCTTTTTTGGACCTTGATGCTTTTAAAACCTTGGAACTTGATGCTTCTTTCTATGACTTGTTTTTGTTCATTGGAGGCTGACTAGATTGAGAAGCTCTTAATGACTCATCATATTCAGTTAACAATGGATCTTTCCTTGGTCTGCCTCTTTTCTTTGGTGGCAAGGGTACTACTGGTTTTTTCTCATTCTTACAACTTTTTTTTATTATGGGCATACTCTAAGCACTTCCCACATCTTATTGTTCTTGGTACAAATACCCTTGTTGATGAAAACCTCCCCTCTTGTTCACTAGCATGCCTTTTCCTTTTGGTAGTAGGCCTACTTGGCTTTCTCCTAAACAAAGGAGGCAATGGCTTTATGAATCCAGTTTGGCTCCAAAGATTACTCCCATTCACTAGTTTGATATTAGAGGAGTAAGACTTTTTAAAATTTTCCTTTGAAAAGTACCCATCAATATATACATCTGGTGTTTGATTGATGTAGTTGATGGCTGCATTTTCATGTACACATGGGATCCCAGACAAATCCCATAATCTGCAACTGCAAGCCCTGCTGTCTAAGTCCACCATATAGCTGTCACATCCTCTTCTAGCTTCAAAAACATGTCCTTGACTATGAACTACAACCCATAACCTACATAAATTGGTATAGTAAGTAAGAATAATAAATATAAACAACAAATGTTAAATTTCTTTGATGCATACCTCATATTTTTCCCAAATAACTGCATTATCCTAAGTATAGCAGGACAAACATTTGATTTCCATTTAATATTTTCCTCTGTTATGTGGGAAAACCTGTCCATTATATATATCATGATCTCCTCAAGCATTGTGATAAGGGGTTTTTTTCCTAGCATCAACAATGATTGAGTTGAAACACTCAGAGATTCCATCCTCAACTGCTTCACACGCATAACCCCTATCAAAATAAGCTCTACACCATGTTTATGGTCGTCTTGACATCAAATACTCATATACATATGGGCTCAACTTCTTAATGGTTTCCATGTGCCTCATAAAGTCACTTTCTACACAACTCATTGATGCGTCCCAAAATAATTTCTTGAACTCCAACCCTGTGTATGCTTTCTTGAAATTGGCATAAACATGCCTGGCACATTTCCTGTGCTCAACATTTGGGAGTATATCTTTTACAGCTTCAACCAATCCCTACAAGACAAGAACATTCAATTCAATATACATCCCTTTTAAATTGTGTTAACATTTATATAAAGTGGATTATTGAAAACAAACCTTATGTTGGTCAGATATCACCACGAATCCTCTGCCATCATGAAGGTCTAGACTATCTCTAAGTAGCTCAATAAACCAAGTCCAGTTAGGCTTGTTTTCAACATCAACAACAACCCATGCTATAGGATATACCTAGTTATTAGCATCTCTACCAATGGCAGTTAACAACTCACCCTTCACCTGTCCTTTCAGGAAGCATCCATCCAAACCAATTACTCTTCAACACCTTAATTTCCATCCATCACTTAGAGCTTTGAAACCTATGTAAAATTTTTGGAAGTAGTTCTTCCCATCTGGATTGATAGTGATACTAACTTTGCATGTAGAACCTGGGTTGGACCTTAATAATTCATCAGCATAATCCCATACCCTAGCATAATGTTCAGTTAGTTTTCCTTCAATCAACTCAGTGGCCCATTTTTTTGCCCTACAGACTTGCCCAATGGATACTACACATCTCAACCTTTGTTTGATATTAGCAATCATGTCCCTAAGTTTCATCTTAGACGTGTTTGCAATTTCAATAATGTAATGCCTACCTATCCATTCAGGGGAAACAAGACTTCCATATTTGAACTTCTTACTGCAACGATGCTCTCCAACCAAATTTTTAACTTGAAATGATTTTTCATTGTACATCCATCCAGCATACAATCTGAAAGGACAATCATTCATCTCTGTCCTCTTCCCACATCTTGCAACTATTTTAGTTTTATCATATTTTTCAAAGTATATCTGATATCCATTTGATACCCCATAATTTTGAATACAATACATAAGTTGTGCAGGAGACTCAAACATATCACCTACCTTAGGTTCCATCTTATCCCATGGTGTGTTTAGATCATGAATTATGTACTTATTCTTCACCGCCTCTTGTTCACCTTCTTCATCACTTTGCCATTCATTATCATGATAAACTTGTGCTCTGATTTCATCAACCATGCTTGAATTCCTTAAGTTTTCATCACTAAGTAGAACATTAAGAAAGATGTCCCTACATTTATCAAGCGTAGTCACGAACTCATGCTCTGGTTCATGATCCATATAAATACCATGGAGCTCATAATCCATCTCATTTAGTCCAGAGAAGGGCTCGTATATACTAGCAAAGAGTTCTTTGAAAACGTCATCCGATGAAGCCATTACAGTTACATGCAAAATCAAACAGATTTTACAAACAAAATCGAAGATTTTTAAATAAATAATTGCTTTAATCATGGATTTGAGATACTTACTGGTTCAACAACTCAACGAGACTATCACACAACTATCTTCCTGCTTGAACAACGATACCAACAGTGTAGACCTAATCCTTTTCAAATACCCAAAATTCGTGATGATTCCCTTCCAAAAGCCCATGATTTTTCTCAGTGGAGTACGATTTACTGAGATTGAGTTGACACTTCGGAGAGAGGGTGTGGAGCTATATGTCTAACGTTTACCAAACGGGGTTAATTTTTTCGTTGGTTAAGAAACGGGGGGACAAGTTGAGGGGTAACCGGTAAACCCTCTTGCAACCGGTTATTTGGCATAAACACAAAAGTTGAGACAAGTGTGCGGCATTAACGACCCAAAAACCCGCCAGAGGGTAAAACCAACTTTTTTTTTTACAAAATTAAGGCTTTTTATGACATTATCCCTTAATTTTTGTAGAAATGTTGATGTATTGTTCAATTTCTGATTCGGGTTTTGTTTAGTTGTTGCTTTCATTTCTTTTGGTGGATTTTCGTAGACTGGGTAATTAATTACAATCTAGGAGTTTCAGCAATTTGCATTTTATAGGTTCATTCATTTGTGAACAATTTTTTTTTCTCGAAATAGTATTTGTGAATACGTTAATGCACCATGGAATGGAAACCTTGTTAGGTTCATTCATTTATTGAATTTAGTTTCATATTTTGTAGCGTTAATACAGTATTTTTGTGAGAACATGATTTTGGTCATTAATATCGACTTTCCGTTACTCACACCTAGATATTTGGATTTTTTTATGAGTTGGGTTCTCGTCTTTATTGTGTTTGTTAGGCTTTAGAATTGAACATAAATGTATATGCATTTCTACATATGTTTGTAACATTATATAGGTTCACACGTAAAACACATTTCCTTTTATTACTTTAATTTTTTTTAGTCTGTGTTTTTTATTAAAAAAAAAATACTATTATTCGTGATTTTTCGTTCTTTTTCCATAGAGATTTATATTGATATATAAAAAATGATTTTTTTTTTCCAAACAAACCACTTCATTTTCTTTGTTTGTTGAAAAGTAGATCTATTTTTATAGAAAAAAATTAATAAATATATTAAAATTCATATTTTTAGTACTTTTTAAAAATAGATTCATATTGATGTTTAGAAAAGCTTAGATTCACATTGTGAACCTATTCAGTTTCACATTATAAACCTTCTCAGATTCACAGTGTGCATAATAGTTAGTCAGATTCACAATGTGAAACTGAATTGATCGAGTTTTTTCACATTACGAATGTTAAAAATTGAAATATTTACAGTTTAGATTCATATGTGAATCTACAATAATCGAGTTTTTTTTTTAATTGATATTGATGTTTATCAATAGAGTACAAAAAATCAATATATTTAGTATAATTAGTTTTTTTTTTAATAAAAATAATTTTAAATATTGAAAAAACTAATAGAATGTAGTAAAAAAAATTTCGGAAAAAAAAAATCGTTTTTATATATCAACATGGATCTCTATGGAAAGATGATGAAAAATCGAGAACAACGGTATATTTGAGTTTTTTACGATAAAAATGTGGCATAAAAAAATTAAACGGAAAAAAAAGTGGGTTTTTTGGTAAGGAGATTGATTTTTTGGTATATAATTCGATATGTGTGCGTCCAATGTATAAGTATATATCTATTTCATTAGTTGTTGATCATTATGATTTCTGACGCTCACGATTAGTTGTGTGGTTCTTTGTTAATTATGGTTCTCTGTTGAGCCTCAATATATATATATATATATATATATATATATATATATATATATATATATATATATATATATATATAGAGAGAGAGAGAGAGAGAGAGAGAAAAGAGCTATGCTCAAATGTTTCTAGTAATTATTGTGTTCTAAATGCATCAATCACAAATTAACAAATAATTAACTAATTGAATAAATCAAAAAGAGTATTTCTGGTTTTTTGCACTTGCAATTAAGGAAACAAAATAAATATATGTTGACCTAATATCTCTTCTTTATAATCAAAGAGTCGGCTGCTTCACCGTTTCACTCGATCACCACCCACACCAACACACCACCACCAAATTCTTCATTCTTCAAAGAATCAAAGGGCTTCAAGAAATTATACAGGTAATTATAAATTTCGTTATAGATTATTCGTTCTCTTTTTTTTTCTTCACCCTCCACAAATAAAAATCAAGAATAAAACCGATCCATCGACACTGAATAGTACATAGGCTCCAGCCGACAACCAAACACGACTTGATTTCTAATTTCACTAGTTAATAATTCTTCTACATGATTTCTAACCCTAAACACGACTTTAGGGATGATGGAAAAAAAAAACAGATTATGGGGATAATTTCTAACCTTATAGTCTGGTCGGAACTTTCTTTTTTTGTTTATGTTTTTAGTTTTCTCTCTAACAAGAAATTTGAAGGCTTTTGCTCTAACAAGAAATTCAAAAAATTAAAAGTATAATTTGTATGTACAAAGCAGTGGTCTTGATTGGATAATTAGCACAATTTTTTTATTATTGTTGTATCTGACAGCAATTCTGCCATAATAGAAGATCAAGTTCTAATTCTGTCAGAATGGAATCTCGATTTTATAGCATGGAATCTCAAATTACTCTTCAGTATTTGAAGGTATACTCTCTTTTATTATAAATTTAGTCACATTCATGTATTTATTAATCGCATATGTTGTATGTTTCATCAAATGAAGTATAAAGATTTGTGCATCCGATTTTGCTCGCCAATTGTTTGATAAAATGCTTGAATCAAATATTTTAGCAAATTTTTTTGTAATCTTTGGACTATCATATCTCTCATACTAGTTTGGAATGATTTGAAAATTTTTTTCTGCATGTTCTCCTTTGTGTTAGCTACAAGTTAGGTTTTGAAGTCATTTTAATTGGATAATATTAGTTAAGTTACAGTCCTTCGAACATTGGATGTTACAGCTATATTTTTAGCATATTTACTTTGTTCAGAATTTTTTTGTGATCTTTGAACAATCATATTTCCCACATTTTTGCTTGTAATATATGACATTTTTCCAATGTATTGTCTTCTGTATTAGCTACAATGTAGGCTCTAGAATCATTGTAATTAAATTAAGCCGATTATTTAGATCAAGTGAATCGGGGAATACTTGATCAAGTTACTCGAGTATTACATTCTGTTAGAATAAATTAAAAGTTTTTAATGTCTAACACATTCTATTAGAATTTATAGTTTTGTTCTTTTAGAATATACTAAAGTTTTAATATTTTAAAGTTGTTTTCTTTGTGGATATAGATTTTTGAAGAGGTTGACATTGATGTGAAAAAAGAAGAATACATGGAGAACGAGAGTATTCTAGTAGAATGTATTCTGCGAGAATGTATAAAGTGTTTCTTAATAATAATATTCTTTTGGAATGGATTAGTGTTTTTTGTTAGATTTTGATGTTTTTAGTATAATTTTTTTTAACCATTCTTAGTTTTAATCTTTAAGAATAAATGTAATTCTTAAACCATTGTTAATCATTTTTTTTCAAAATAAATATAATAATTGTTTAGTATTATTCTTTATATATTAATGTAATTAGTGATCCTTAAAAAGTAAAATCCATATTCTTTAGAAAATATTATTCTTGATAATATGTTGTATAATTCTTTAAGCATATTAATTATAAAAAAATATATTGAATGAACCATATTCTACAAGAATAAAATCGAAAATATTTTTACTCGTTTATGTTTGACTCTCTGTCATTCTGTCAGAATAAAATCGGTTAGTATAAGAAATTATAGTAGAATTAAATTTGAATTAATTTAAAAATTCAGATTTAAAAAAAAATTAATTATCCCTTAAAATCAGAAATTTCCTTTTTTTAATATAGATTAATTGATCAAAACACTCGTTTACTGAAAATTTGTATGATTATATGATACATGTTACCCTATTGTAATATTATAGACCCTTAGATCATGACCATTGATTTTATTCATCCATTGGTTTAGAATTTTGTTTACACACACATAAAGATTTTATTTTTAAAATTAGCAAAAAATTATTAAATTATCATTTAACATTATAATTTAAAAAATAAACATTTATTTTGTTATATTTTTATCAGTCAAGTATTAAATATATTGAAAAAAAATATTTTCTTTGGAATATTTGTGATCATCCATATTAATAAAACACATTTCCAATCATATATAAATACGCTTTGTAGTACTAAACGAATAAAACACAATTTAGATATAAAAAAAATCAATATAATAATAATAAATGAATAAAAGTCATTACATAAATAGTTATATTATAAAAGTATTCACAAATGAATAACACTAGATAAAAGAATATTTAATAAAATTGTAAATAAAATGAAAAGTACATTGACTTATTAATTAGATTATACTTCTATTCATAAATAAATAACCAAAAAAACAATATGATAATTTTTCTATTTTTCATATAATCATAAATGACTATAACATAAACAACAATTACAATAGAATAACAACTATTATTTTAAAATCATATATTAATAGGACATGATGTTTTCGAATTTGTAGTGTTTGGTTATACATCCGACAATCCATAATTGCAATTTAGAAGAATCTTGATTTACTCTCTACATTGCTAAACACAAATATATACAATAATGGTAACTAAAGAAAAAAATAAAAAAACACAGATATTAATCTCAACAAAATATACCTATAATCATAAATAAAGACAAGTTAACATGATAGAAACTAATTGATTATATCTACCTAAAACACCATGTCTGTCACACCTTCACCAATGAATAAAATAAAAAAATTATACAAAAAAAAAATCATAACATTTATAATCGTAAATGAATAATAATTTCATTTACTTTGAAATCTATATATACAAAGAAAAACACAATCATAATTTATATACAGCAAAAA